CTCCCACATCTCTCCATCTCAACTTTTGAAAATCATACAACTGTGAAACCGGTAAAATTACCAAAATCAAAATGATCTACGTTAAATTTAAAGTAAGGGAAGAAGTAAAAATTAAGAAGCTACTTTTCATAAATGGATCATGAACCGTAGATTTAGAATCAAAGACGGAAATCAGACGCCAAAACCGGGCGGATGTAAATGGCTACAATATTGTATACCAGACAATGCCAGTTCCTAAGAAAAATAAATAATTATCTAACAAAAAGCTAGACAAGCTACATGCCTCTGAGTTTCAACAAAAAAAAAAGCAACCTTTTCTATAGTTGATATAAAAACTGCCTCATTAATAAACCAGTGTTTAGGACTTACTTAGTAAATTAATATATAATATATGTGATGTAATGAATATACATACACCTGGTCACCCTTCACAGTAATATGATTGGCTGGTGTCAGCCATAAATACAGACTGATGTGGAGGTATTGATGACGCCTATTGTCTTCGCCTATTGCTTATGCCTATTGCCTACCACAACGACGAGGACCAGTCCATTACGGTTATCTGCTAGATTGTCCTACTCGGTTACAGTAGTCCAAAACCACTTTGCTACTTCGAACAAATATATCCCTTTCCGGGACATATCATAAAGGTTCTTTATATGAGTTGTTAGTAACAATAACGAATCAATGCAAAATGTCAAAATGCCAGCCAAATATCAATATTAACATACAGAATGATACTAACACCACTCGAAGATTAATACAAAATTATATTAAATCAAATTTAACCTTACCAAAAGAAAGATAAGCCATATATACAAGGTTCATATAAGGATCTATATGTCCTTGCCATTTTTAAAATTTTCTATATGAATCTTGTTTTCTGAAAAGAGACATTTTAAAAAATGCCAAGGACATGTAGATCCTTATATGAATCTTGATTTCTGAAATAGAATATTTGAAAAATTGGTAAGGACATTAAACCATATAAGTTCTTTTTCGACATTTCGTGCCCAAGAAATTTCAACTCCCCTTTCCTGATGTTGAGTATAAGTGTCCATTTTGTTTTCATTTCCCTTGAAACGTTTTAATTGCTCAAATTCTCAGAATCTTTCTGTAGAACCACATGTTTATTGGTTCAAGTTTTTTTCTTTATCCGTAAGGAGATTGTCCCGCATTCACTGCCATGAAGGTGGATTGATATCGTATTATAGTTCAGGACTCTTTACTTTGTTTCTAACGAAATGTTTTATGTTCCTTGCTTAAGTTTTGAAAGGCAACATTCGCTATTCCAATGCAGCTACAGTGTCGTACTTTCGATCCTCTGTCAAAACTCTTCCCAGATATTTAAATTGTTATACTTGTTTTATTTTCCTATGTTCAATTTGTAATCTGCATGTTGTGCTGTTCCTTTTGCTAATAAACCATGCTTTCTATCTGATCGCAATTGATGTTTAGTCCTTTCTTCTCGCTTTCATTTACTACCTTATGTAGGATCTCCTTTCCGTGTCTGCTATCAACACTGTGTCATATGCATAACTGTTGTGTCGTAAAAAGAAAAGGTTGAGACACATATAGAAAATTAGATGTAGTTTATTCCGGAGAATAATATGGTACACGATTGAGAACACAGACTAGTATAATAAACTATTAATCGTTAACTTCTCGCTATTTATCCGAGACTTTCCCACAAGGCGGGATCAGGCACAAGTCCGGTTTTTAATATGGAGCGTTCCGGGCTCATAAGATCAGGCAAAAATTGTCCGTAGACCCCGTATACACGTAGTCGGGTAGATGTTTGCTTTCCCAGACGAAACTCTGCCATTCGACATAACATCATCTGGATTCCTCTCCGCCCGCAGGCAGAGAGTCGACAAGCAGGCTTAACAGTAATCATTAACTGCTGTCGCTCAATAAGAGAGAGAGAGAGAGAGAGAGAGAGAGAGAGAGAGAGAGAGAGAGAGAGAGAGAGAGCTGTTTAAATAGTCTTAGTCCAGTCCAACATGGGGGTGTTCAGCTACTCCACAACAATATTTCATGTTGTTAAGAGCGTAGCCGTCAAGGAAGTTTCATTGCACTAATTACCATTACGCACTAATTGATTTAATCGTCTACGTTATCATTCACATACGGCAAAAATAACAAGGTAGATTGTTCTCTTTAAAGTTGTGTGGTCATCAGTTTAAGAAAAGGGCCAATTTGAATTACAAATCAGTGAATAAATAAAATGAACCTGTGGAGAGCCATGATCTTTTAAGTCCTGAAGGCACGTTGCATAAAAATATTACAACATATCAGAAAATCGAAATATTTTAATTTTATCAGTTTTAAATAAAAAATGATGCAATTTTAAAAAAATAAATAAAATTAACAAAATTTATTGAATCGTTGAATATAGTTCTGGTCAACATAACGGCCATCAACATAAAATAATTGACTTTTCTCGGGCCACTGGTCTTAGCTCATCAGAGCTGATCTAAGCTGATTAGAGCCAGTCCAAGCTTGTCATAGCTGTGATATTGCCAGTGCAGGGACAAATCCCTGTGCCTGGTAAGTATTAGAATGTGCATACCACACGAGAGAGAGGAATTTACACATGGTACTTACTCTGTCTCCCCACTAAGATGTCCCAACGGACACCAGGTATTTTTCTAAGGCCCAAGAGCATACACAAAATTACCCACAGCTCCCACAACCGTCAGTTGCACTGGCCTCAGTGCGAGCACCGATCCCTCTCTCTAATGCAATGAGAGGGCGCAGCCTCGGCAGCTTTTTACCAGGGCTGGGCACCTCTCAGTATAATTTTTCTCTTTATCCTCTTTATAAATTAAGACAAGAAGAAAAAAAATCACACCTTTACCGCATATTTCTGCGTATAAGGCGAGGTAAAAAATATAGCAAATTTTCATGAATTTATCCTATACGCGTAATATAAGACGACTGATTATTGATATCAATATATCATACAAAATGATAGTCGACAGTGGATAAATCAGGGAATAAATAAAATGAAACTGTGGAGAGTCATGGTCTTTTAAGTCCTGAAAAAATAAACTTTTACATTAACAGTAATCGTTAACTGTTCTCTTACATCAATATTATATGATATTGAACAAATATATCCCTTTCCAGGACATAAAGGTTCTTTATATGAGTTGTTAGTAACAAAATGAATCAGTGGAAAATGTCAAAATACCAGCCAAATATCCTAAGTAGAATAATTGATTTTGATGTCCTTGCAATATTATTGGAAATGATCTTACTTATTGTATCCTTAGAAATTCAACATAAAAGAAATAACAAAACCGATTATATCATGTTTTTCCTACATACGTCCCCTAAAAGGGAAACCATTTTGTTCTTTACGTTCCATCACGTGATCTCTTGCGAATACTGATTTTTTTTTCCTTGTTCTTCCTCTTCTTTTCCTATAACTAAACAGTTACTAACAGCTTGGTGTATTAATGGCCATGTACTGATACTTCATTGACAATCACAAAATACCGCTAATAACAGTAAAATAACGTACGATAATAGTATATTCGATTGTTGTGAACGAAATCTTAACTCGATGTATACATTTTCTCAACTGAGCTTGCTTGGATACAAGCTGATTTCATTGAATAGAATTATTCTTCAAATAGGCAATTTATTATGAAGTTATACCAATAATATATTAGGGAGAAATGATTGTAATATTTTTATTATCAGTTTTTTGATAATGTGACTCTTTTCATGTACGTTATTGGTTATTGCACCGAGGCGGATTTTAGCCTACCGATAAACATCACCCAACATATAAGGTTTCTTTTTTAGAGTTGTAGTATAAGACGTCTCCCTACCCACAAATTTTTAAGGGTAATTTGGGAGATTTAAAGGTCGTCTTATACGCGAAAATATACGGTATGTAATATTATAAACGAAATTGGATAATTAATACACTTTGCTTGAGATTTACGAGCATTGAGATCCTGAAAGCAACTGAGGCCGATTTTTAGTTCATTGAATTTAATTTTCTGAACAACTTACATCATTGGATCGATGAGCAATAGAGTTCATTCTAATTATACATAGGAGGAAATGTGTTCATTCAGGAAAGGTTGGTTTAATGTGATATTGGAGATTGCAGATGCACAAGAAAAATAAATAAATTGAACGAGATTTGTACGGACGGCGGAGGTGGGGTGTGTAGCGTATGAATAAATATGAGATGCAGGTGTACATTGAAAAGATTTGCACAAGGAAATGAAATAAGTTGGTGGGGGGGGGGAAAGAGGATATATTTGACTTATTGATTCATTGTGTTTATTCAAATAATGAGTTGAACATTGATTGAAATCTCCATCTGATAAATTGCACACACACACACAAAAAAAAAAACGCGGACGAATGTAAATAAAAAAAAAGGAGTCTGATTTATGTAGATGTGAACATGCATAAACAAACAGACTTACGAAAAATACTTACGACCAGCCAGCTATCTATCTCTTTCTCTCTCTCTCTCTATATATATATATATATATATATATATATATATATATATATATATATATATATATATATATATATATATATTCCAATCTATGGCTGTCTATATCTGTCATTGTCTCACGTTATTGATATCTATCTATCTATCTATCTATCTATCTATCTATCTATATATATATATATATATATATATATATATATATATATGTCCATCTAAGGCTGTCTTATCTTTCATATGTCTATTTATTACTCTTCCTATTTATCTATTATCTATCAGCTTTTTCACGATCTATCTATCTATCTATTTATCTATCTATCTATCTATCTATCTATATATATATATATATATATATATATATATATATGTGTGTGTGTGTGTGTGTGTGTTTGTGTGTTCATAACTATCTACCTATCTTAGCCTGTCTATATCTCTCTATGTCTATTGCTATACATATCTATTTCGCTCTTTGTGTTTATATGTATCTTCCCATATAAGGCTGTCTTATTAGACTATGTATCTATCTATTATTATTTCTATCTATCTATCTATCTATCTATCTATCTATCTATCTATCTATCTATCTATCTATCATTGTTTATATCTATTTATCCATGCAAGGCTGTCTATAACAGTATTTGCCTATCTCTGTTCATATCTATCTATCTATCTATCTATCTATCTATCTATCTATCTATCTATCTATCTCTCTCTCTCTCTCTCTCTATATATATATATATATATATATATATATATGCCTGTATTATCTATCTATCTATCTATCTATCTATCTATCTATCTATCTATCTATGTGTCCCTGAAGTTTTCTAAATATACATGTAGGTAAAGACATGTAAGTAATCAAATATACCATCAAAATAATTTCCAAATAGCAATTGCGTACACAAACATGCATACACACACGAGAACATTTTCAAAGGACGAGCTGGGCGATAGAGAAAGAAATATTGTGAGTGTTTATATATGTAAACGGGAAATTATTATCGATTTGAAAGACATGTATACACACACACACGCACACACACACACACACGTAGATATAAAGGGCCAAGATTCTTCACTCTCCAACTATTGAATCAATATACAAAGTTGAACAAATATTTATGCTGTTGTATTAAAAAGGCAACTCCCTCCACCCGTAAACGTAAACGCCCACCCGTTCTCATATGCACACGTAAAAACACACACGTGCGTATACAGACGTAAGTACGTGTCTTTATCGACCTTGCAAATGATAAAATATTCATGATAGATCTTGCACGTCTATTTGCGTAGTTCAATTGAACTTTAAAAAAACGTATATATGTATACAGTGTTCTCATAATCATATGTACATACAGATTTTTATACTAGTCTATATTTGTTGTTTTATTTTTCAGATATACAAATACTTATCAGTGCATATTGGACTCTGTAATTTTGGTTGGCAAATAAGAGATTGACAAATTTCAATTAAAAACAAGTTACAGGTGGAAACCCCTAAAAGAAATCTTAGCATTATTCACCAATGTCCTGACAACTCTGACGATAATTAAACTATTTACATCAAGAATAATGTCCTCAGCTTTGTTTTCGTTATCACAGCGTTTTGACCATTTCCCCTCCGGACTTCATCAGATGTATATGGATCCGCGTAAATTACAGGCAGTTCCGAACTTCGGAAAAATAACCTAGTGGATTAAAGCATTGTTTCATGAATCTGGTGACGTAGTCCAAACTTAGGCAGTGTTTACTTCAATTCAGTGGAAACCGGGCATATAATAACTAAGCAGTCCCAAAAATAAAGAGGAAGAGATGTCCCTATAAATGAAAAGTCTACCCATCCCTGTAGATTAAATAAAGATTCCAGTTCGAAATTCTTTGAAGGTTACCTGGATCGGTACCTACCTGACGAAGGCCAAAGGGCGCAACGGCTGAAACGATAACAAAGATGAGAATAGTATGAATGTAAATAGTGGAAATAATAGTAACTGCTCATTCCCGAAATTCAAACCGAAAAAAAATGTGTCGTTACCGGAACAATGAGAATCAAATCTTACTTTGTCATTGAACATTTTCATTGACGTCACAAGTGTGTGTGTGTGGGGGGACTACAGATATCGATTAGCCGTTTGTCTTTTATATCTACCTGTCCAGGTATTGTGACCTGGAGATAACAGAAACTTCATCTAAAGCGCAACTCCTTCGTCCTGCGTGATTAACAGATGCCTATAATGAAAGAATCACAGGCCGCTCCTTCCGATGTTCTCGTGAAATTACGTAAATGAAACAAACTGAAATATATATTCTTCATACATGAAGGGAAATGTCGGCATTGGTAAAATAAGGAGCTACATAAATGTGCAAGTAAAAGGCACGTTTTTCTTTAAATTCTAACGTCGGTGGTACCATGGGGTGTGGTAGTCGTTTGAAGAGGAAAATCTGGTTGCAGATTAACATTGAGTAATGAGTTCGATTCTCACTGTGTGCCTCATGAACAATAATCCAAGGGCCTGTATGTTGTAAAATCGCCGAACATAAATTAAAGTCTTATCTATGCATTTTCATAGTAAAATCATTTGTAATGTATTTTCATAGTCAAATTTTGTGCAGTGCATTTATATGGAAAAATCATTTGGAAAGCAGAGTAAAATCAATTCCAATGCCGTTTCCTAGTAAAATCATCTGTAAAGCATTTTCATACTAAAATCATTTGCAGGACATTTTCATAGTAAAATCATTTGCAGTACATTTTCATAGTAAAATCATTTGCAGTACATTTTCATAGTATAATCATTTGTAATACGTTTTGAAAAGAAAATTGTAATGTATTTTCACTGTGAAACCATTTTAATGCATTCTTATAGAAAAATCATTTCCAAAGAATTTTCATAGTAAAATCATTTATAATGAATTTCCATAGTAAAAACCTTTCCAGACACCTCGATGTAACATCATGATTAGGTAGGCTAGTATTATTGGCCATTATTACGGACTAGGGAGTTCAATACTCACGGGATGTCTTATTCAAAATTTGATAAATGGTCGCCCAAAAAAGGAGAGACATAGTCACCCGCATCCCGAAAGGACACAGTACAAAGAAGTCGAAGAATTAATTTCGTTTTTTTTTTTTTTTTTTACTTTAATCAGCAGTTTTGGGAGCACGCTAACGCCTGTTGAAATCCACACATTTTATGTACGTTATATATATATATATATATATATATATATATATATATATATATATATATATATCAGGCCTGATGACGACTGCGTCTAGCATGAAACAGACTGTCGCCTCTAAATCTTGACTTCAATGTTCACGCTCTATCTCTGATATTGAGCACATTATTCCATAAATATAGCACACCTACACTCTTCATATATATTGTTATGGGGTCTTCCCCTTTTTCATATAAGTGGACTCGACCAGAGTTTTACTTGGACTGCTGCCGTTAAATACCCAGAGTCAGTCAGAATAGAGGGAGAGTGAGCACAGATCGTGATTGAGTTGGAGGTAGAGTAATAGTGTGAGGTAACCGCTTGTAGAAGTCAGTTACAAGCACGTAGACTCTAAGGAAGTCCCTCAAGACTTATATATATATATATATATATATATATATATATATATATATATATATATATATATATATATATATATATATATATATATATATATATATATTATTGCTACTAACCGCGTTCCTGGATTTACTAACAGTATTACCCATTGTATTATTGTAAATACATTTAATTTCTTATATTTAATTCTTGCTTCATCTCGAATCCACAACATATATATATATATATATATATATATATATATATATATATAGAGAGAGAGAGAGAGAGAGAGAGAGAGAAAGACAGAGAGAGAGAGAGCGAGAAAGAGAGTGAGAGAGAGAATAAATGTATTTATTATTTTAATCATTAAATTGTTTATAAAATAGAGGGAGTATTCTTTATGTTAATAATAAAAGTTTTAATCTTTCTAAAAAGCTAATTAATATTCATTATATTAAGCTATGCACCCTGTACTTTGTATTCCAGTATCTGTTTGCCCTTTCCCTCAAAATTGGGTTTCAATCGGTCAGTGTATGGCTATTTTAGAGTGTATGACGGATGGACAAAATAACAGTAGACACAGAATTTTTTTATAGAGATTTCCATTATTATTCACTGAATTTAAGGTGTTCATTAATGGGTTAGTCTTATTCGGTAATATCAATGGTGAGATTAGCCGTTTCCATACATATAACATTCGGCATTAAATGATCGAACATTTAGTGTTGCTGTCTGAAGAAATATATATGATCTTTGACTTAGAAAGATTTTTCAGGAAAATAGCTTTATTTGGACTATATCCACTATTATCGCTCTTTCTAGTCTCGATCGAGGTTTCCGTCCTAATCTTTTGTTTAAGAAGAGACATTCTTTTCTGTAGAATGTCAGTATCATTACTTCCGATTCTGGTGATATGTGCTATTCATTTTAGTTGTTGCTGCTGTTGGAAGTGTCTTCATATGATCTGGTTTTTGTTATTTGGTGAAATTCGTTGTAATTCTGTGGCTCCAGTCGATATGATCTGATCAAGAGTTTCCAGATTAGAAGAAAATCGAAAAAATATTCGTAATGCTTTCGCTGGCTGCATTTAAAAGTGACGCGGGTCGTAGTTTGTCCCCAACTGCGTTGCACCGTCATCACTCAGCATGAATGTCTTGAAAATCACTAGTCATTAAAAAATTGGCAACGAATCAAATTGCTTCTAAATGACGTGAAATAAGTCAGCTGTCAGTGTGAAAATTCCATCCAAAATATGCATGAAGTTTTAGTTTAACCAGAAGCCATTCAAAGGAGTGCTAAGGCTTTCGTGGATGATTCAATGTCGGAAGCCCCCAAAAAGATATTTGCCATCGACAATCCAAACAGATCGGAATTAAACTGAAAACGATCCTGGTTCAGAAATTTGATCAGCAAGCATGACACTTGAACATTTTGAAAGCGTATTTTGTAATAGACGCTTGCGAACAAAAGCGATCGAAGGTTCACCGGGGTGTATGATTGAACGGCCAAAACGTTAGAGATCTTACCACGAGGAACTGGTTTTGAGTCTCACTTTTTGGTTCATTGGTCAGAAAGATGACTTCTTCATAATCTTGTCATGTAGTCGATTTGCAGTGACAGGAAACCATGCCATGATTTAATCCAACACTTTTGACTAATTGCGCAGAAGATATTATTCGGTTGTTGCCGATGCTGGTACTAATGGGTAGATATAAGCCCTTGAGTCTTGGTAGGCAATCTATCTAGAGGTGGAAACTCGCTGAAACATAACGATCGATACAAAACCCGAGCACTCGTGAAATGTAACTAACAAAAAACAAACAAACAAACAAAATAAACAAAAAACACACAACGCGAAACATTCTTAAATCACGTGATGAATTGATTGAAACCAAGATGTTAAGGTCGTGACCGATAATATAGCAGATTATTCTTTAGGTTTACCAGACCAGATGTGTCAGCAATATTCAAGACAAGGACGAATGGTAGAATTATAAATATGTAAGATAGTTTCGGGCGAGAAAAATTGTTTGGCACGATACAGTGAACAAACTATTCTAGCAGCAGATCTAGCAATTGATTCAATAATATTTCCCTTAGTCCGAGTAGGTGCAATGAGTCATTCTCCTGGAGGTTAGAATCAATTATGCTAGTGGAAATCAATAAAGGTTTCTCTTAGACGATTAAATTGCAAGTTATTCCTTGCCCCAGTTAACAACAAATCCTAATTCATTATTGAGATCAGCTGCTACTCACAACCGATCCCATTTAGCCTTAACACAAGTGTAAATATTCGTACCATCAGCATAGCTACCGTGATGAGTAGTGAGTGGACCAGGGAGGTCATTTATGAAAAACAATAACAACGTAGGTCCAAGACTTGAGGAATCTCATCACTCTCCAAAATATCCTCCTGGTTGAGACCCTTAGCAGGTTTCTACTTTTACTAAAGATGTCGACTTCCTTTCTTCATCATCCATTTATGCAAGCCAGTCAGGTAGGTGGCACGCTACCATTCCTTATCTCTCTTGCCCACAACATGCCTTATGAGGATTAAGCTTTCAAATCACTGTTTCCTCATTATACGTCCAAGGAATTTCAACTGTTTATTCCCGATTATGATTGGTTTGGATTGTTTTGTTTTATGGCAAATCAACTTCAAGGGTTTAATGGGATAAAATGCTCAATATCATATATGTAAAATATAAATATAAAAGGGAATATTGAAGTCAACACTCAGAGGCAACAGGCCGCGCACAATTTTCAGGCGGTCAGACGATTGCGTCCAGCATGTAACAGCATGTCGCCTCTGAGTGTTGAATTCAATGTTCTCTATATATATATATATATATATATATATATATATATATATATATATATATATGTATAGAGAGAGAGAGAGAAAGTGAGAGAGCGTATATAATATAAATATAAAATATATATATATATATATATATATATATATATATATACACACACACACACACACACACACACACACATATATATATATATATATATATATATATATAAATACATATAAATAAAAAATGTGTTTTTTCTAACAAAATCACTTTGTAAATCAATTTTCATTGACAATTTTGTAATATTTTTCGCTTCGAAAATCTATTGCTGGCACTAATTTTTTTCAGAAATGTATCGCTGGTAATTTTTTTTTAAATGTGTTGCTGGTAATAATGAATTGCTGATAATTATTTTCTTCAAAGTGTTTTGACCCCAGTTTGGGGGCTAGCTATTTGCCCATAGCTGGGATCCTAACAGGTGCTACCACCCCGAGTCAGGGTGAACCTGGGAACACCAGCAGTTAAGAGGTGGTTCCGCGCTCCACAAAACCTCCTGATAAGTGGCCTTGCTATTGGACGTAGTTTATCCTCTTAACCAGGACACAGATGTAGTTTATCGCCATACCCAGGATCCCCGATTCTGAGAATGTGTTTTTTCTTTCTATTATCATTTTAATTAAGACATCCTTGTTGCTTACTCATTCCGTCCATGGAATTTTCGTTATCCTCATCGGGAACTACATTTCTGCTGCCTCTAGTTTTCTTTCGTAGGGAAATTGTACTGCATTAATTGCTATGGTTGAATAAAATGTGCCGTATTGAATGCATCCACGTATTGGATCCTGATTTTGGAATCGCATTTTTAGGGGAAAATGCGCACATCACAACCCAAAAAATAAAAAAAAAATATAATCTTTCTCTTATGTGACATCTCACTAAACATGAGGAAACACTTACAGTATTAACACGACTTATACTAAGGTACTTTTTTAATAGATGTGAGGTAAGTTTTAATTACCAGGATATTTTGGGAAAAGAAGAATTTTAATATTGTTCATCATTGCATTTATTGAAATTTTTTGTGGTTTTTCAGGGAGCAACATCTTCAGATACAGTAAATTAATCATAGCTACAAAGATATCTGGTATCAGTAAACATTTGTACATATAGTAATAGGCAAAAAGACTAGAAATATGGTACTTGTTGGTAAATGAAATCACATACCATACATACAAAAAAGCAAATTACTATACAGTTTAACCCGGATATAAGAGAAACCCGGATATAAGAGAGATTTTCTCTGGTCCCAAATTAGAGCATGTGTTAATGTATATAAAATAGACCAAACCCGGATATAAGAGAAACTCGGATATAAGAGACTTCCGGTCCCGACAACTCTCTTATATCCGGGTTACACTGTACCTATATATCAACAAAATCACACAAAGCAAGCAGCAATATACCAGTCAAAGGAAATGTTTCTGTAAAATCTGGTATTTCTACAAAACAATCAACAAAATATTGTGCAATTCCATATTTTTCTAAGTTTTCTTTTCCTGGGTGGAATTTTTCAGCGATATTTTATTGATATCATGTTTGTTAGTGAACAAAGCTTTGAAACAGGAGTCCTTGCTTCAGAGCTAAGTTTTTTTGTGTGTTGACTTCTAGTCAACCCGACTTTTTTCCGTGGTGTTTATGTTCCTCTCATACATGATACTGCTCTATTGGATGCATGGTAATTTTTTGGTGCATTTTCTTTTTGGAAAAATTCCTCGTCATGTAAATACCGTAACTGTAGACTATATTTTCGAGAATAAAATTTATAAGCAAAGGTGGCAATTATTTATGATTCACCCAAGTATATTCCATCGTACATACATGGCATGCAATAAAACATCAGACAAATGAAAACTCTACGTCTGTAAAAAAAAAAAAAGAAAAAAAGTCTTTACACTATGCTTGTGTGCGAAAAAATTATTCAAATACATTTCGTTGTCACATTTCACTGTTGCGATTGTATTGAGCAGAAATAGAAACGGATTTTTTTCGAACATCCGTTCTCATTTGGCAAAACAAGAACAATTGACAATGGAATTTCAATAGACATAAAAATATGCAGTCAATTATTTAAGAAGAATCTCCGATATAAAAATGAGCTCAAATGATGTTTCAGGAAGCAGGGATTACAGGATGTTACTACTATTGTTACCAAAACTTTTTCACTATAATCGACATTAATGGCTTTCCTGGCTGAAGAGTAAAAATACAGCAGAAATAGAGATCACGTACAATTCACACAGGAAATTGTTTCTTTCTTTCTTTCCTTCCTTTCTTTCTTTCTTTCTTTCTTTCTTTCTTTCTTTCTTTCTTTCTTTCCTTTCTTTCTTTTCCTTTCTTTCTATCTGTCTATCTATCTCAGCTATTTCATTTTCTATCTATCTATATCGCAAGATAAATATCTATGTCTTTTTGGTTTGCTTTTTTATATTTTCTTTCTTATCTTCCACTCTCACTATGTGCTTAGCTTATCTGTCTCATCTTTTAGTCTATCTATCTATCTATCTATCTATCTATCTATCTATCTATCTATCTATCTATCTATCTATCTGTTTGTTTTCTATCTATCTGTTTGTTTTCTATCTATCTATCTATCTCTAGCAAGCTACCTATCTCTTTTTTTCATATTTCCCTCGTTTCTTTCCTCCCCCGCTCTCTCTATATATATATATATATATATATATATATATATATATGTGTGTGTGTGTGTGTGCGTATATATATATATATATATATATATATTTATCGTTTTGATTCTATCTATCTAGAGCCCTTATCCATTACACCACCATTATATACAAGCTTTCAGTACCTTGTATTACAAAGCGATCACCCATTAAAGTACGGACCAGGCTCGACGTTGCTTAACTTTGGTGATCATACGAGAATCGGTGTTTGAAGATGATATGAACGTAAGCCTCCTGCTAAGAAAAATATAATCTTGTGTAAGTATCGACATAAGTACAGGCTGAAAAACACTAGCTTCTCTGTCAGAGAGCAAAGAAGTTATGCAGAAAATATAGCAAAAACAACGCTAATATTACCTAACGCATACAGTGGAAATTATATATATACACACACACACACAATCATCATATATATATATATATATATATATATATATATATATATATATATATATATGTGTGTGTGTGTGTGTGTGTGTGTGCGTGTGTGTGTGTGTTTATGTGTGTGTGTGTGTCTGTGTGCACATTGACCTACCGCTGGGCTTACCAGAAAACTATTTTTCTAAGAGGCCGCTTACATTTTTGTTTATATTACTAGGTTGTCACATCATTAGCTGTTAATTATCACACTCCAAACGTTTATTCTATCAAGTGGCATGCCACTGCTCGAAACATCATAAAAGCAGTCTTTTTTAACGAATAAATAAAACTAAGTTGGCAGTAGATGTGGTTCAGTTCTCACCATACTCTTCCCAAAAGGTTGTTGCAATATTTTCTTTTATTTATGAATGAAGCTTTCTCCGAATATTTTTAGGGCCCAACTAATAAATAAACAAAATAAATATGGCAAGGAGGTAACTCAGAATGATAGGCTTGTAAGTCTACAAACTTTGATTAACAAGCAAGGGGTGGCGGCCGATTCAATAGTTCAATGTTTGCTTACATCGTTAAACCAACAGGCAATGATGTTTTTTTTTGTATTAAACATTCTTCTTCTTCTTCTTCTTCTTCTTCTTCTTCTTCTTCTTCTTCTTCTTCTTCTTCTTCTTCTTTGTGTCGTGTCCTTTCAGCACGTGGGCGACCATAGTTCTCCATAATTTCCTGTCCTTTGTAGCTCTTACCAATATTTGCCTTTTTGCTATCTCTCCTAATCCCCGTTCTGTCAAGCATTTACACAAACTCATTACATAGGTTATCCGGTGCTTTCCTCTGTCCTCATTGCCATCAACATGTTCTTTTAGTGTCAAATTTTCCTAGATCATTTTATGTCTTCTTCTTCTTCTTCTTCTTCTTCTTCTTCTTCTTCTTCTTCTTCTTCTTCCATTCCCTCCTCCTCCTTCTTCTTCTTCTCCTCTTTCCCTCCTCCCCCTCCTCTTCTTCCTCTCCTCCTTCTCCTTCTGCTCTTCTTCTTTTTCTTCTTCTTCTTCTACTCTCCTCCTCCTTGTCCTCTTCTTCTTCTTCTTCTTCTTCTCTTCCCTCCTCCTCCTTTTCCTCCTCCTCTTCTTATTCCCTCCTCCCCTCCTCTCCTCCTTCTCCTCCTCCCCTTCTTCTTCTTCTTCTTTATTCCGGGTCTCTTCAGGACGTTGGCGATCATAGTTCACCATTTCCCGTTCTTTGCATCCCTTCGCAATGTTTGTCGTTTTGATATCTCTCCTAATCTAATCCTCGTTTTGCCAACCATTTAAAACAAACTGATTAGGCAGGTTATTCGGTCTTTTCTCTGTCCTTCTTGCATTTAATATATATGCCCAGCCAATAAAAGATTTTCCTAGGCCTTTTCTGATTCTAATTATAAGTGTTTTTTTTTTTCTATTTTATCTAAATCTTCGTTCTTTCTCCCTTGTCCAATCCATGGTATTCTCAAATCTACAAAATGAAAAACAAAGAATAAAAAAAAAAAAATCTGATATAAAAATGTCACCTCCCACCTTTTTCAAATGCCATATACCTTCAGGATGTTAGTGATCCTGATTCCCCATAACTTCTTTTTGCTTTTAATATCTCTAACCTGTGCAGTGACTGACATTATTGTCAGTTGGAAATATAGTCGAATGATATTCCGTTTCATTTTCATGATTTAATGCTTGATTTTTCCTTCTCTTATATTAGTCTAACTTACTAGTAAATAGTCTAACTTACTAGTAATTAGTCTAACTTACTAGTAAATAGATATAACCGGGAGAAATATAGATTCATGTCTTTCAAAAGAACAATACCGGGAAGAGAACACATCAGTCTCGGTGTGAGTGTAAACACTTTAGCCTGATTCCGTTTTTCGCTTTGGTAACTGTCACGCCACCTACATTCCCCAACTCCGCCAACTTCGTAATGCATAAAAAAGGTCAAAAGATAGAAAATCGACAAATGGAAAATATCGTATATGATTATTAACATTCCAGTTTTTTATATTTTTACTAGAAAATAATAACATCAATAATATTGCATATGAAACGGTTTAATAATAATAATAATAATAATAGTAATAACGAAACGAATACCAACTACGTCAAATGAATAAAGCAGGACGCAAAACAATGACAAAACATTAAAAAAATAATAAAAAAAAAACCCAAAAAAAACTGGAAGGACATGGTGTTGAATGGCAAATATCTAACAAGGACGAACGAAGCAAATGTGGGCCAACAGAAAACACATCAGTGACTGAGGAGCACCACGTTGAAAGCTGAGACGGATGGTCTAATTATTACAGCTCAGAACCAAAGCCTCGCAACCAGATCCTATCACTGACACATAATAAAGTCTGGAACTAACCCGAAATGCAGGATCTGCGGAAGATATTATAAAACTGTCGACCATATTATCTCAGGCTATCCGGAATTAGCAAAAAATGAATATACCCACAGACATTACAAGGCAGCGACATATGGGCAGATATGCAAGAAGAACAAAATCGAAACAACTGAGTGATGGTATGAACACCAAGCAGTCACCGTTACCCAAAATAAAGATGTAACTATCCTCTGAGACATGTCAATTTAAACCGACAGGGACATAAAAGCCAACAGACCTGATATTATTATAAAACACTAGAAATTCACGAAGTGTATTACTTATTGACATATCAGTACCATCGGAGAGAAACAACTGCATGAAAATTATTGCTAAAATTGCCCAAATACAAAGACCTGGAGGTCGAGATTAACAAGGTGAAGTCTGAGACTGTACCAATAATAATCGGAGATCTGAGCCTCATGAGAAAAAGAATGGACAATTTTACTAACAGTGTCCCAGGTAACATCAAGAAACAAGTTGCCCAGATGATATTCCTATTAGTAACATCCCATATACTGAGAAAAGTGCTATCAATTAAATGGCAGTTTTCCTATACGGCCTAAGGACCACAGTTTGGACACGGGTCTACAGGATACAAAGCAGGAAACATGACATACACAAATAATAATAATAATAATAATAATAATAATAATAATAATAATAATATTAGTAGTAGTAGTAGTAGTAGTAAAAGATAGTGTTGGAGATTCTGTGATAAATATTCAGAAATAATTGATCATCTTGTATCTGGTTTCACGGTGTTAGCATCCACTTAACATAAGACTCGGCATGATAGAATGGTGGGCGGATAACTGCCCTGAAAAATATGCATCATTTACGGGAAGGAAACCGCAAGAAACTGATATGAACATCACCCAGTCCCGGTTACATAGATAGGATCTGTAGCAATCTTATGGAACTTTAACATACGCAGACAGAACAAACAAAACTAATCGCTCAGACCTCGTGATCAAAGGCCACAAAAATAGAATGTGCTTTCTTATTGACATGGTGATCCCTGCAGATCGTAATGTATCTCTGAAGATCTTCAGAAACCTATCAAAATAAAAGAATCTTGAAGTGGAAATATTAAAAATGTAGCTCATGATGACATCAATAATTCCAGTTGAAGTCGGACCCCTCGGATTGATTGGAAAAGATCCCACTAGACTCACTGAAGGGATTCCGGGTAGCCCATGCATTGAAGAAATACAAAACACTGTACCCAAAATTACAGCTCAGGCATTATGAAGAGGTTTATGTATGTAAAATGTGAACGATTTTAGTTTTTTTTTCACAAAGATGATCAGTGTAAAATGTCATGAAGCCATTTCTGACCTTAGATCTCTGTTTGGGACCAAGAGGGAAATGTGTATACAACAGAAATCAAAGGAAATAATAATAATAATAATAATAATAATAATAATAATAATAATAATAATGGTGCCTCCTTGTTGATATGGCAGTCCCTGCTGACTGCAATGTATCTTTGAAGATATTCAAAAAGCTGTCAAAATACAAGGACCTTGAAATAGAAATCTCGAAAATGTGGCATATAGGAACATCAACAATCCCTGTTGTAGTTGGAGCCCTAGGACTGGTTGGAAAAGATTGCAGTAGACTAATTGAAGGGATTCCTGGAAGTCCATGCCTCAAGGAGATACAAAAAATTGTTCTGACAAGTACAGCCCACACTTTACGAAGGGTTTTATCTATGTAATTTTTTTTTGTCAGTGGAAAGTGTCATAATGCCATTTCTAACCTTAGGTCCCTGGGCGGGACCCGGAGAGAAATGTGCAAACGCCAGAAACCAAAGAAAATAAAAATAATAATAACAATAATAAAGTTATATTCCCTTACGTTAAATCATCCATGGCTCACTTCTAATCTTAATTGACTGGAGTTTTTCATACAGCTGTTAATTCAATACAAGGCCTAATAACCACTCAAGGTAGAGGTTTACTCTGTGGTTTCTTATGAACGTAAGAAAATACAAGAATCCATTGGGCTATGCAGGAAAGATAATGGTTCATCCTAGCCTTGAAGAGGTCAAGATTTCATCGAGTGGGAAAACACCTTGCTTAGTGTCTGTTTTACAAAGAATCCGGACAAAAGCTGTCCGAGTTGAACTTACTTCATACTAATAGTATACGTATCTCGGCGGGTCCCAGTTGAAAAAGTTCAGGGCTGATGGGACCAGGAATATAGCTTATTATTATAACACCATTAAAATAGCGATAGAATTACGAAAGACTTGCGACGGTTCATCTGCGGGAGAGCGGTAAAAAGGTAGAAAATAAATCATCACCCATGAGACCGTTTAGACGATTTTCTACTCGATCAAGTCAAGCTAGTGAGGACTGAGGAGCTCCAGCCAAACAATACACTAATTTTCGTCTGATCTGTTTGCATATTAATCAGTTAAGTACCATACGT